AGGCTGAAAAATCTTGAAGTCTGTATGAAATTGGAGGTAGTTTGAGGATTAAATTTTTTATGCTTTTTAAGCTCAAAAAAGGCGGGTCGTTTTATACATGAGATCGTATTATACACGTATAAATACGGTAAATTTCATTCGTTTAAAAATGAATAAAACTCATCTTTGTCATCATAGTGCGTTTAGTTATTTATTTTATTTATTTTTATAATTTAACAAGTTTGAACTTGAGAAAGAAAGTGTTTTCTGTGGAGTATAACTTCTTAACACGGCCAGTTAAAAGTTATGCAACTTGCAAACTTGGAACGGTGTCTGATATATTGCCAAGTTTTACTGTCTGAGACCTCCTGGTTGTTGCCAAATGTGTGTTGTTAGTCTCCATATGTTTGATCTGTTGACAGAGATGGATGAAGGAGTTCAAAGTGGAATTATTCCAAAGAAAACAGGTCACAACTGCTGAGAAACAGTAGCTCAGGCTGAATCCCCCATCATTAGACAACATAATGATGACAGGTGCTCTGCCGTATCGGAGTCACACAAACACGTGTGCCACTTTCTCCTTTTGTCTCCTCCCTGTGCTCTTGTTGATGCCTCCTCCCTGTCTGACATTTTCAGTCAACTCAATATCCTCTGACAGAATTTCTTCTGACATTTGGCTGGTTTGACACATTTAGTGGCAGAAAAGAATTTATAATCAACCTTCATCCCATCAGCCCTTTGTATTTGAATCACTTCACGGATGGGGGGAAAAAAAGTCGCAAGAGGAAATGGCATTGTGCGAGTCTTGTCTACTGTTCCCACATCAGATGATTGTGTGTGAGAGAGAGAGAGAAAAAGGGAAAGAGAGGGGGAGAGAAACCCCTTCTGGCAAGTCATGAAAAGAAACGGAACCCCAGTCAATCTGGAGAGAGCTGAGATTTCTTGAAGAGRCGAGTTGCTTTAACTCCAGCTACAGATTTTTTCTCCCAGTTATCAGATATTTTTAAGCTCTCTCTGCTTTACAGCTCAGAAGGAAATGTGATATTCAACGGGAGTAAATAACCCCCCCTCTGCTGCAGTTTCTTTAAATCTGCCTGCTCTCCTTTTCTTGCTCGTTAGATGCCTCTTGATGTTTCACAAACACTGGAGGTAATTCTCCAAATCTATGAATTACCTGCAAAAATGCTAGTGTGGATGCCATCTGCTGAAAACTTTAGCTGAAAGCTGCTGAAACCGAGCTGAAAATGTTTATTAGGAAAACAGTTCAAGCGAGTTCAATTTGAAAAGCTGAAAGCAGCATAAAAACGTTTAACTTAGCAGAATAATAGCTAAAAAGAGCAGCTGAAAAAAAAAACAGAAAAGCTAAAGTTACCATAAAAACAAGCTAAGGGTAGCAGACAAGTTGAAAATAGCACCCAGATAATTAAATTAAATTAAACCATGTACCCTAACCAGAAACCCTGGATGAACCGAGATGTTCGTCTCCTGCTGAAGGCCCGCAACATCGCCTTCAGGTCAGGGGATGCACAGACCTACAGTGCAGCCAGGGCTGAGCTGAAGAGGGGAATCAAGAAGGCCAAACACC